ACAAAATGAAAATTACAACAAAAGAAAAAGAAAAGAAAGTGTTGTACAATTGTGTAATGCATAGTAAATTCGTTGTTGTACAATTCCCGCGGTTATTAACACAGTTTTTTTTGCCCCTCTGGAGCGTTGTCATGCCAACTTCTAATCAAAGATCTTATCTTCTTATTTGCTGCTTGATCAAGTATTCCTTTTTGTCGTTGCTTTGATCCCGAAACAGAAATGAGCCAAATGGTGACTTTCAAAGGTCGATCCAGACCCCAACCGCTTTTTTTAGTCACGAGACAAGTCTTTGATAAAACTCACAATTATTATGTGACATATAAAATAATAAATTCTAGGATAAGATCCGCGCTTTACGCGGGGTGAAGCTATTATTTTTATTATGTTTTGAAAAATGAAACAATAGTTCGGTTTCATTCGGATTAGAGGTGTTCAATCCGGATATCGGGTTTCGGTTCGGCTCGATTTTTTGGTATTTCAATTATTAAAATATAATCTATATGTACTTCAGTTTGATTTGGTTTATATACCATCGGTTTTCAGTTTATTCAATTTTATACCAAAAACATGATTTTTTAGTTTGAGATCATATTATATGTTATACAAATATATAATATGATCATATTTAGAGTCATATTATCACAGAGTGATTTATTAAAAAAAAATATTATATATTTAAATAAAATAATAAAAAACAAAAAAGGCTTCTATCATCTAATAAAATGATCAAATCTAGAATTAATATCAAAACACTAAATTTTGAAAATAAAAATAAAAAACAAAACAGAAGCATGAAAGAAAAGTCTTTATATTCTTCCATATTTAGTGTTCATCAAACCAATATGTCTTCGATTGAACACAACTCTGTTTGTTTAAAGATAAAAAAAGTTGTAAAGAATTTCAACTAATTGTTGTCCATCAAATTTATAATCTTTACTTCAATTTAGTTACTGTTAAAAAAAAGAAAAAGATCAAAATAAGAAGTCTAAGTTGTAATAAATTGTTAGCTATTTACAAATTATAATTATAGTTCAACTCATGTAACAAATAGATATTCATGCGTCGTTATAAATATATACATATTTACATGTTTAATTTAATCGGTTATAAATCAAACCATATCCAAATCCTATGGTTTTTATAAAATTACATCCATTCGGTTTGTATGGTATATACCAAAAATAACCATATTATCGATTGTTAATATCTTTTAAAAATATTAAATTAAAAAAAGAACTAAGATATTTAAATCATTGATAACAAAAACTTTCAATGTGAAAAATTTAATAATTTTATAATTTATAAATGTTCTTGAAAATTTATTGAGGATTTTGAAATTAAAATATTTATGTAATCTTATGTGGTATATAGTTTAATCTGTATATATTTTTGTTTTATTATTGAATGATATTTTTTACTTATATGGTTTTAAAATCATGTATATCTTTTATAATAAAAATGTTAAACTATTGATCATTAATTTTTAACATAATAATTTTAATAGTTTAGTTATTTATTCTCGTTTTTTAAATTCAAAATATAACCTATACGAAAAAATCTAAAGTTTAATTTTATAGCTAATTTGATTGTTTAATTTATTTTAATAATATAAAATTAAAGAAAAAATGATGGAGGATATATAAACTGTTATAAAATATTTATTATTAGAATCATTAAGTGTCATATATATATTAGTCATTTAATTCCATAGATTTTATTATGGAAAGAAAATAAAATAGTAATATATCTAGGGGAACAATCATAAATGCTTTTATCATAAATATCATATCATATCATTATATCATATAATTTGACCAACGAATGTATCTAACGGAATATAAAAATCGAATGTGTACCTACTTATTTTTCAATTAAATGTAATTGACTACCTAATTAAGTGACACCTAAGCATGGAGTCTTTTTTAATTATTACAAAATTGAGGTTACAATTTTTTAAATGTTTCTCCTTTAATATATAAGGGATTTTATTTTAAAATTTAAATGAAATTTGTAAGAAATATTTATACCCGCGTAAGCTTTAAAATCAGTCTACGGTATGTGGAGTGGGAAAGCTCATGTTTGTCGACTTGATGCGATAGGGCGCGAAAGAGACAGTTTCCGTCAGCTTCAACGCCATCGACATGAAACACTAGTTCTTCGTAATTTAGTGCTTCCTCTTCTTGAAGAAAAAAGAACCAAGTGCAACTTAAAACAAAGGTGTTTTGCATATATAAACTCGCAAAGGATTAAGGATAGATGTACTATAGATTGAGTTTGACTCTCAAAACTGTAAAGCTCTAGATAGTTTTGTTGCAACAATTTAAATTCTTATGAATATTAACGGAAATATAAGATAAATAATAAATTAATTTGAAACCGTATGAACTGATCAATTTCCCATCACATGATGCACAATAAACATTTATTAGTTAAAATAATTAATATTATGTTGTAAATTGTTGCCGCCGATGTACAATATGTTCAATGCAATCATTTGATTTTCCTAAATTATACGTCGTGCCTTATACATCTTGCTGTTGTTCCTATATTTAGTTAACATTAATATAGTAATCTTTATGACAATATGACAATATTAATGATAATGAGTGATTGACCAGCTATATCAATGTATTAATGATGAAGAATCTTTGGAAGCTATTCTCCGTAGTGGTTTCTACAACCTATATAAACGAAGCACAAATAGCTCGATATAGTCATTTCCTATACATGACTAAAAATGTTTGTGTTTATTTGAAGTCTTAAACTAGAATGGCTTCATAAGCGTGAATGAAGATGAGAAAGAACATAAATTCAAGTTAACGATAAAACATAATGAAACCCATGATCTTTGTGGGATGAGTTTAGATAATTTTGGATTCACAGAACAAATTAATTTATGCGCTTTGATCTGATTCTCTCTCGCTCTCCTCTCGTTGCTTTTTTATGTGCTTTGATCTGCTTAGCTACCCTTTTAGCATTGCTCTTCACTTCAGTATCACGAGTTAGAAATGGTCTCAATGCCCACTTTCTCTTAGCTCCGATGAGCTTTTCAGAGTTTGAATCCTCCATATGTATTATCATAATGTCATGACCACTACTATTCAAGAGATCCAATTATGTCTGAAATATCCATCCCTTATTATCAATACAGCCTTTTGACCCTTTTAAGCCAAAGCTCAACAAAGATTTTATCTTACGATCAACTGCTTGATAAGGTTTTGGTTTTCTTTTTTGCTTTGGTCTTAAAACATTTAGCTTTGATCCTGGAATAAAAAAAGGATTAGATAAAATATAATGTTATAAATTGTTGCTGCCGATGTACTATATGTGCACTGCAATCATTTGAGTTTTCCTAAATTATAGCATTATACAGTTGGGTGATGTTCCTATATTTAGTTAACATTAACATACTAACTTTTATGACAAGATTAATGATAACAAGTGACTGACAAGCTATATCAATGTATTAATGATGGAAATCTTAAAATATATTCTTGGTAGTGGTTTCTAAAGCCTATATAAACAAAGCACATATAGCTCAATATAGTCATTTCCTATACATGACTAAAAATGTTTGTGTTTATTTAAAGTCTTAAACTATAATGGCTTCATAAGCGTGGATGAAGATGAGAAAGATCAAAAATTCAAGTTAATGATAAAACATAGTGAAACCCATGATCTTTGTGGGGTGAGTTTAGATAATTTTGGATTCATCGAACAGATTGAATTTGATTGTTGTTATTCTAATCCATTTTTCTCTCAATGAGATTGCGTAGATTTTTTTTTCTTACTACCGATAGATTGTGACAACTTATTTTGTTTGTTTTTATTTTACAAAACTATAATTTGAGTCATATGACGGAAAGCAATAGACGCATCAAATATTATCAAATCCATCTAAGGTTGTCAACCCATAATTTTTACACAGACCTGATTTAGATTAAATAAATAAGATTCAAATATCTACAATGAAAATAACATAAATAAGCCTTTGCATTTTCTTTGACATGTATGCTTTAACGGGTCACATGACAAAATCAGATGTCTATACTACAATCAGGAGGGTTCCAGTAGATATGAAGATAGCTACTGGAATCTACTAAGTATAATAAGTAAGTTGTGGAGAGTTTTTGTATTGAATCAACACAAAGAAAAGTATTCTTAGCAGAAGAAATTTCATCAATTGTATGGTGAAACATTACAAACTAAAAAGAGAGTTTATTAGATCACATATTAGATCATAGAAACATGTGAGACTAGTCGTTTCTGGTTTAGTGAGACTTGTAAGACGTTATACACAAGCAAACTAAGCCAAAAGATCTTTAATAAAAAAAATAATGAAAGAATACAATAAATTGACAAACATTTTAAGGATTGTTTTAACTAAGTCACAACAGCAATTCCTAATCCAAATGAAATAAATATGGATGGATAGAGAGATAGTAGCATAGATAAAATCGAAGATGAACAATAACTCAAGATAATCTGTTTGATGCAGCCAAACTCCAGAGAGAAGGTGAATCTCTACCACTTGTGAGGCCTTGGTAAGATTGTCCTAATGCATATCCAAGAGCCCTAGCAACTGGTACTGCAACCGCATTCCCAACTTGAATGTACCTGACAACAATAGAAATAAGGTAGTACTTCTTTGAAGAAAATATGGGAGAGTTATAACATAAACTTTTTGGAGTGAAGGCATTATTATTCTAAGTGTTGACAGCAGGCTTTGAACCCACGCCCTATCGGATCAGAACCTTAATCTGGCGCCTTAGACCAACTCGGCCATATCAACTTTGTTGATACACTTGGAACGGTAAAGCAATTTCATCAGAGAGAGGCCACGCATGCTAAAATGTGATTTTGCTATTTACACAATAACCTCCAATACATAAGCTTAGCTTAAGGTAGCTACTGAGTCTTAAGACTTTACGAGGATGATTGTATCAAACGTAAACTACGTATGTGTTTTGATGATTAAGTACTCAAATCCAAACACAATAGTACAATACTGAAAACATCAATCTCTAAACAAAACAAAAAGTACAACAAAAGATAAAGGAGAGAAAGTTAACAACACTTGAAACTAATACCAAAAACTCAGTTAGACATTGTAAGATAACAGTAGACAACAGACAAACTTAATTAATGCTTGCTTCTTCAGAAAAATATGTGTAATGGTGTCACTCTACCATTTCTCATATCATTTCTGTCCACATTATTATAAATAATCGAAACAGCTGAGGAAGACTCATCTCCTCATCATCTCTATTATAGATGACCTTTAAGCTTTAATGCAGCAGCTGAAGAAGCTAAACATCCCTCTCCTCGCCTGTTCCAAAGTCATATATGTTTTTACACGTGAGATTAAGAATGTCTTATCCCCTAAAAAGAATGTACAATTACTTATGTTACTTCATCAGTTCACATGGTAGGTCACAAAAGGTTAAAGACTCATATATAGGATTATGCTTTACTTTGATTGAAAGAAACCATTACGGAAACTCTATACTTTATTTATTTGATGTGTTCTCCAACAATTTAAACCCACATAACCATACCCAATCCAGCTCCAGATCTATGAGTAATCATCTCTAGAATTTCTTTTAGTTTTATATGTCAAACGAAAAATCATAAAATTAAACTGGAAATGTAAATATTTTTATTTGTTTTATAGAATTTGATAAAAATATTGCAAAAATCGAAAAACTGTTTTTCATAATTTCGCAAAAATCATCAAAATATGAATAAAAACGATTTTCAAATATTATTTTTTCTGAATTTGAAAGGTATATAATTTAAATATTTGTCCATGGGTTCACTGATCCATAGGGGTGTTTTTGTTTAGTTTTATTGTTTGGGGATGATTTGATTTGAGATTTTCATTAAATGATGAAGGGTATGAAAATTAGTAGAGGATATAAGTGATTTAATTTTTTTTTGTAGAAAGGCGTCTAAGGCAATGACTCGCAGATCTATTTCATGTGTATATGTAAAGAGCAGTAAGCAACTTAACTAGACCAAACACAGAGGGACCACATTCACCCAATTGTTAGAGATAGCTATATTAATACTCGCAAAGTTAGATTCCACAAGCAAACCAACCCAAGAATGTAAGGCCCACATCAAATGAACACACACACAACTATAGTCCAAAACACACAATCATCCAATTCATATAGGACACACAGTCAAAAGCTAAAAGCAAAGGTCTGTAAATTTGAAAAAGGGTAAAGTAGAATAAAAAAATGTCTGACCCAACATCTAACCAACTAAAGCTACAAAGTTAGATTCCACAACCAAACTAAATTAAAAAAAAACTACCTAACAGTCTGAAGACATCAACACCCACAAGTAACTCACTCCAAATTTGAAAAGAAATCTATAATTTTAGAATTTTTGATGAATATAAGCGCATGATCAACTAACTAAAACCAAAATATGGTGCTACAAAGTTAGATTCCATAACCTAACAATATGACAAAGCAGCACACAATCAATCAATCATTCAACTCAAGAAGAGTCGACCCTCATTGATTGAAGAAAATGAATATTTTAGACAACAACAAAAACAAAAAACTGAAAAGAAGTAAATAATATCTTACAGCTGGAGAAAGTGGCTGGTGGTCAGGGGCGAATCCAGAATAGTTTCCTTGTGGGTGCAAAATTTAAAAATGAATTAAGGTGGAATCGAACTTGAGACATCAAGGGGTGCACAAGATGATTAAACCATCTCACCTAACTGATATTCTTTGTATCCTAACGTACAAAACACTAAATATTCACAAAATTATGGGGGCACGTGCCACCATAGTGGTAGCTTTGGCTTCGCCCCTGCTGGTGGTGAGAGAACTCAGTGTGGTCTCTCTTGTCGTCGCTGTGAACAGTCGTGAGTCTAGGCTTAGTATTTTCAACCTTGGTGTGTTGGTTATGGAAAGGGTTAACGAGTTCTTCTTCGTTTCCAAGACTGGCTCGAGAATGATCTCTCTTGTTCTGTTTCCTCATCTCTCTAATCTTTGTGAAGTCCATAGAGTAGTCAGGTATGGTTCCTCCTTTCTGATCCCAGTCCCCAAACTGTGGCACTGATAGCCATGGCGAGTTCTTATTCTGCCAACAACAAAAAAAAAATCACCAAATATCAAAAACTAATCGAAAAAACAGGTTATGAAAATTTACTGTGTAAAAGGGATTTATCATGCATCAGTTTAACTTAAAAAAAGTTTGTTGGAAAAACAAAAAGAAGAAGAAGGAGAGATTAAAACCTCCTTTGGAACCTCCATATATGATCAAAGCTGTAGAGAGAAGAGAGTCCTGTTTTTTTTGAAAATGAGGATGTTTAGGAGCAAGAGAAATGGTAACACAGAGAGATATATAAAGAAAGGTGCTAAGGAATGAGATATGCAAAATTTAATACAGAAAAAAATCACAGCTCGATTGGGTGGTACGACTACACTGTTACACATCATATTATTTAGTTGATTTTCTTTCTAATTTTTTTCCCTAAAAAAGTAAGCTTTTGTGTACTAATAATGCCATTCACTGGGACATGCACACGTTTTATCCGCGTCAGCTTTTGCTTCCATCTTCTGTGAAAGGACATGGTTTTGCTGGTCTACCTATTGAATATGATGAATACCTCTTAAAGTTTTTCTAAAATTATATATGGATAAGCTCTTATTTGTTTTTAAAAAAAATTCAGATCTGCTCTGAAAAAATAAAAAATCTCATAACATATTGACAAGAAAGAAAAACCATAACATATTAACATAAGTAGATGCGTTTTGTTATATAAAAATCAAATCTAGCCGACCATTTATCGTTAGTGAATCTATGCCTATCAAAAAAAAAAACAAAAGTCTACAATGACTTCATAAAAAAATAAGGACGACTTAGTTCGGTTAGATATATAATCATGGAGGCGATTAACATAAATTCATGTTTAATGGTGTCAGCCGACTGCATGATGTTAATAAGATAGATGCCAATTGTGTTTAAAATTTGATTGCATGATATATATTAATATATAGATGGTAAACTGCAATCTAAGAAACTTTACTATTTCAGAAATGGATTGTTGGTATCTTTAGTGCCTAATAGGATTAGTGGCATGAATCAAGTTTTTAATTGTTGACCGAACCGCCAATGTCAAAATATATAATCAAATCTCATTCGGTTCAATCAAAACCAATCGGTTCAATTGAAAATCGTTCAATTCAAATTAAACCAATTGGTTCGATTAAAGCCACCGGTTCACTGATAAACCCTAACTAATTTTATTCTCTCTCTCTCACGCTTCACCAACATCTCTCTGTTCTGTCTGCTTTGGTCGGAGAACTGTTATCACCATGGTCGGAATCCTTCTAGGCTTGCCTGGTCAATGGGCAGAAGACGAATTCGAATCTTCTGATCATTACACAACTAAAATCGGTGGTTTTCCGGTAACACTCCTTCTCTTCATCACTAATTTTCACATAAAGTTCAAATCTTTCTTTATGGGTTTTTGATCTTTAATTCACATAAAGTTCAAATCTTTCTTATGGGTTTTTGATCTTAATTTCACATAAGGTTCAGATTTTTCTTTATGGGTTTTGATCATAAAGTTTGCTTATAGGATTGGCCTCCAATACAAGATAATGTAATAAAACCAGAGCTACTCAATTGTTGTTCTTGTGGAAGTAATCTCTCCCTTGTAGCTCAAGTTTACGCCCCAATCTCAACTCAAAAAGAGCGTACTCTCTATATCTTTGGTTGCTTGATTCCTAAATGTGAAGCTTCTGAACAAAGGTTCTGTCTTTTTTCTCCTTATCACTCTCTGATTATGTAAGAATATGATCAAAAGGTCTGAACTTTGTTTCTGGTCTTGGTTTTAGCTGGAGAGCTTTAAGTGTTCAGAAAGCTATACCAATTGAAAAAACGGATCTTCCTATTGCCTCACCTAAGGATACACCTAAAGCTCATTGGTTAGATGATGATGGTGATGATGATGATGAAGAAGATTTTGATTTTGAGAGTTTAGCTAAAGCTATTGCGGAAGCTGCTACTACTGTTGCTTCAAACTCTAAGAAACCAAAGAGTAAACCAAGTGGTAATGCTACTAGCTCAGGGACTAAAGCAAAGCCTTCTTCTCCTTTTAAAGTTGAGACTGGTGCGGTGCTTCCCTGCTTCTACATTTATACAAAGGAGGAGAAAGTGGCAAAAGATGTTGAAAGTGTTTCCATGAGTTATTCGTCTTTGTGCATTAAGGATAAAGAAACTAGTAAGAGCGGTGAGAGTGAAGGTGAAGAAGTTTGGGAGGATGAGAAGTATGAATATGACAAAGCACTGAATGCTGATAGGACTTATCTTAAGTTTCAAAAACGGCTAGATGCAAACTCTGAGCAATGTTTTAGGTAACTTTAGCTGTGGTAGTATCTTTTTGAGTTTTGGTCTAATTGTCTCTCATGGTTAGGTATTCATATGGAGGTAAACCATTACTGGCCAGGGAAGACCTGAAGTGTCCTGATAAGTGCAGGGGTTGTGATTCTCCGATGATCTTTGAGATGCAACTCATGTCTCCTTTGATATATTTTCTGCATGAAGCTGTTGTTGATGAAGGGATGAAGCAGTCATTGGATAGTTGGGATTGGATGACGCTTATTGTCTACACTTGTTCCAAGGTACTGTACATATTATTCTACAAAAGATATTTAAGAACATAGTCTTGAACATCATTTGGAGCTTAATGTTAACTGTTTGTAGAGCTGTGCAATGGCGGTGAATGGTGAATGGGTTGTTGCTGAGGAGTGTATAGCAGTACAGTATGAGAAGCCGATGAATCTTGATCATGCTAGCTTCTTCAGATGAAGTGATTGGTTGAGAAGATGTTGTGAAGTGATTATAGCATTTGGTCAAGAAGGCAATTCAACTTGTTTCTGGACAGGTTCTCAAGAAGAGGGAGCTGCTTAAATTTTGTGTTATGTCTATGTAATGTTTGATTAATCAAAAGTATGATCTGCTTCTATTGATGCTACAAACATGGTGTCAACTTTCTCTCATCTCTATCAATTTCCTTTTGGCCCTCTTTCTTGATTTCTCTGAAGCTTCTTAACTAATTTAATATATAGTCATGAATGAATCAAGAAGAACCAGATTCAGTTTCTTCATCATCTTCTTGATCTCTGGTGGTCTTTTACTAGTAGCTTCAGATGATGGTGTGGCCAAGAAAGAAGAGAATCAGTCACTTGTAAAGATAATATGTGGGATCTTCAGCAAGAAATTTCCTCCCAGTTCTTGGGAATTGATTCAAGGTGCAATGCAGAAGATTCAAACGAAGCTTTACCCTCCAAATCTAGAGTAAACAAACAAGCATCCATACACTATGATCTTGGGTTTACCCTTCAATTACACTATTGTTTTGTTGTGACTGTTTCAGAAGCAACAGAGACAAAAACAACAAGGACAAAGAAGGAGAAGACAAAGGAGAAGATAAAGTGAAAGAGGCGGCCACAAGGAGCCTTGAAGTAAGCAAAGAAGCCATTGAAGAATCAGCAAAACTAGCAGGAGGTGTCATAGGAGAAGTAGTTCAAAAAAACAGCTGAGAAAGTTACCAAACAAACCTCAAAACATGATGAAATGCAAATGTAATCCACCAACATTACTCATAACGTCACTTAACTTACAAAAAAAGTTCAGATTCAAACACCATTTCCATCTCAAAAGGAACCAATCATAGCACTCAGACACAAGAGAGATTTCAAACTCTAAACATTTCAAGAAGAGCGAGAAGAAGAAGAAGAGAGCTTAAGACACTCACTCTGACACCTCCTCAGACAAATATCATTCCAATTAGCAACCTGATGCTGATTCACACACACCGTTCGAGCACAAGCATCAGAGCAAGCGTCAAGCTCAGATACACCACAGACAGTAACACAAGTGTCTGGAATAGGATCTTTAGAGAAAGCTCCAACTTTTTTGAGCATTCTTTTGGAAGTGCAAACTCTTTCACAGACAAAGATCTCATCAGAGCTTTTCTCTCTTCCTCTAGCGCTTTTGATCCTCTCTTCTTCTCCGCGTCTCTTCTTTATCCTCAATGCTTGGGATCCGATTAGGGCAGGGACTGCTGCTGCTAACAGTGGCCACCACACTTCCACCATTTTTTCTTGTTTAAAGACTGAAAATTTATCACAGAAGTGAGTTAAGAACACAAGTTAAAGAAAAGCTTGTCACTTTAAAGGAATATAGTGGCAAGTAAATTTAAAAATTCAAGCTTTTTAATTCAAACAAAAAAAATTCAAGCTTTTTCCGTTTGAGAGAAATCAATTACCAGTTTTTCTATATGAACAATTCGAAAAATTGAAAATAATCAAAATCCAAATCTAAAGAAAGAGAGAATAAGCTAAATGGTTATAGAACTAGAGATTTAACAAGTCAATTCCAAGGGTTTAGGGTTTTTGCACATGTAGATTGAGACATAAGTTAGGGTTTTTTAGCTCAATTTAGCAACCCAGAAGGTTATAAGAGAAGAAGATTGAATGAAAAAAAATTAATTTTAGGGATAAAGTGACATACCTTCGCTGTTTTTCTATCGACTCTCGGTGGTGTTAGGAACAGCTTGTCGGAAACTCTTTTGTATCTCTCTATCTCTCTGTTAAGAATATTCCTATTTTTTTTACATTTTACCAAAATAATAAATTAAACAAAAAAAAATTATTTCTCTCAACTGTTATTTTTGTTTAAGTAAAATAAATTATATCGAAATATTCACATCAGAATTGGGTGTAATTTAACACTCATACAATGAACAAACGTAAAATAAATAAGATGGTAAATTCAACATGTAAAATCATTCACTGTTCTTTTATTCTGTTTCAAACAGTAATATATGGAGATATAAACAAAACTGTAAAAAGAGTCTGCTATATGAATGATCCAGAGAGGGTTTGATTACACACATATTCACTTTACCACTTACAACCCAAAAGAAAGAACGAAACCAGTGGAACAATCAGAAAGAATAATAGATACCAAAAGCAAACACAGCTTCATTAAGTTTTCTTGTAACGAGAAAGAGATGATTTCAAGTTTCAAACGTTAATATCCATTCGCTTAGATCTACCACTGCCATTGTTGCTTGTTTCTTGTAAACTCGAAAGTGAGAATCTTGGGATAACGTAGTTATCAGGAGTAGACACCGGCTGCTGAGGAAAAAGCGTAGGAGGAGGAGTTAGGTTGCGCTGTGCGGGAAGTGGTGGTAACGTGTTGTTGTACTTGTAAGGATCTCCATGTAAACTGCAACAATCAAAATCGTAAAGACCAAACCCCACTTTATAAAATGTTAGCTTTTAGTGTTGTTTTTATACCTTGTTCTCTTGTAGAATTGGTCATCATCGCTTGTGATCTCGTCGTCTAAACGTTGGGATGATGAGGTTCGATGCGGTGAAATTGACCACGGTGAAGCTGCTGGTTGTTCGTCTGAGAAGTACCTTCGTCTTATCAACTGTTAAAAAACCCACAAAGAAATGGTTTCATCAGTTTAGAGAAGATTGTAACCTTAAAGAGAGGTGTGTTTAATGACACTAACCATCCGGAAAAACTTGTTGAAAGCTTCCTTATCGTATCTGGTTTCTTTAGCCGCCTGTGCCAAAACAACGAATCAGATCATATAAGTTAAAAGCAAACTCATGATGAGTCTAGAAAAGGTTACTTACCGCTATGAGACCGCCATTACCAGGAAAGCTTTCAAAGAGAGGAAGTTCTTCACTAGAGGAAAGCAAACCTTGCTTCTCCACCCAATGACGAGCTGCATCAACAAGGTTTCCACTGCTTCCTTTTGTTCCTTCTTTTGCAGCAATATCTGCTTTGTTTCCAACAACAATGTACGGAACAGGAAGACCACCAGGACCTCCTGAGGGAAAAGGAGCTGAAAAAGTTCCAGTGGCTGCAACCTCAGAAGCCCATTTCTGCAAGCTTGTTTTAGTTCTTCTCTGAGAGAGATCATGAACAAATATAACTCCTGCAAATAGGTAAAATTTCTCGCTTCAGGACATTGCTTCATACACAAAAAAAAAAAGGATAAACAAAATGGATACATAAGAGACCATTGATTTGTGAGTAGAAGAGTGAGCGGCAATCTTTGTATCTCTCATGCCCTGAAACATCCCAGAGCTCAACAAAGAAATCTCTCTCTGCATCCCCTAGAATACTACTCGAAGAACTAGCTGGGCTCCCGTAAGTCATATGCTACGGGTAAGTAGGAGAAAAAATTAAACTGCATCTCCCTAACCAAACATGAGAACATTTGAGACAGTGTAAGTTACCTTGACACCAACTGTGCATCCAATGGTTTGAGATGGACGATGAATGGAAGAACCTTTGTTAATGAGGTGTACAAGTGATGTTTTCCCCACACCTAACCACAAAAATTGAGATGGTTTCAAATAAATGAAAATTAACTCAAATGATGCAAAGAATGATTATTTTCCACACATTTAGATTCAACATGAACATGAGCCATAAGATACTAAATAAAAGACCACACAACAATTACTCCTATAACCACACATGATCAATCAATCTGAATCATCCTATAAGCATTAACATGAGCCATGACTCATCATCAAACACAGTAAGTAACAGACTCTAAGGAAAACAATGTTGGCTTATTAAGATATTAAACTAAACAGACTTAACAACCATTACATTACTCCTCCTAACCACAATGATCTAATCAATCTGAAACAGTATCCTATAAAAACTATATTAACTACAAATCATTTTTTACCTGAATCACCAACGACCAAGACACGAACTTGGCCACATAATGGAGCTAAGATCTGCTCCCCTTTGTTTTCCCTTTCACCACGTTCCCTCCAAAACTTCATTTCTCTTTTATTTTATTCACTACCAAAAGCCAACACTCATACCACACCAACACTGATACCAATCTCAGGATTATTCAGATTCTTTTCACCTTCCTCGCGCGAGAAACCAATCAATCGAGAGAGACAAGCCGCGGGATCTGCAATTGCAACCAATGATTACAGATCTCCACAACGTAATCAGTGAAGTAGTGTTCGTTCGTTCGTCTTCCTCCACGAATGAATCTGGATCTCAGAGATCAGAGAGATTCCCTTCGAAATTACTAAAAGGTGTAGTGTTTCAGATTTGGGCGGAAGAACAATTGAAGCGACTTCTTTTCCTGCGTTTAACTGCTTAACCCAGAAAAACCGGATCATAAATCAAACCGATCAAACTAAATCCTTTATAAACCGGAGTCACTTTAACCGAGATAGTAAATTTTTTTTTTTGTAATCCGGAAAAGCTACCCGCTGGGTCGCAGATGGGCTTTTCATTGTCTATACTCTATGTATATGAATATTTCAAAGATACATATTAGGTGTGGGCAATATATCCGACAACCGATCAACCGATCGGAGTCCGGTCCGATCAAGACGGTTTGGATCGGTTTCGGATCTTAATAATAAACCAAACGGTTTCTGTTTTAAGTTATAATGGGTGTTGGTTCGGTTGGTTTAAACCCCGACCACCGATTGATTGCAACCGAAACCCGACAAAACCCAATGTCTAACCCTAACCCCCTTTTGTATTTCACAATTCGATACTTTCGAACACAGAAAAGGATACACGAAGATCCTTTCACCAAAATCTCAACCAAACCTTTCCAAAATCACAACTTCCGTATATCCTTTCCGTCGATTTCGAAATCCTTTCCATAATCCTAATCTTCGGCAACCGATCAAAGATCTTTGATGAAACCCTTAATCCATCGCGTATATATATCGTTGAGTATCCTTAGACTTGACAAGCCATTCCACCTCTTGAATCAGAAAGCAATTAATCCGAGGTACTTAGTTTTCTTCTAAGTCATGTATCTCTATTTTTCAATTTTTAGATATTGGGTTGTCGTTTTTAGTTGTGATTTGTGATTCAATTTTTTGATATTGGGTTGTCGTTTTTAGTTGTGAATCTTGTGTCGCGTGGCTTAAGTAATGCTTTTTTATTCTTGAAAAAAATTCAAACAGTATTCAAATCACTATATGATCTAGTTAATTAGTGGAATATATTCTAGTATACCAATAGAATTTCAAGATGATGAATTGATGTTAGAAAATGTCCAAGCAACCATATGTTAAACTTTTAATGAACAACTACTTAAAGATATTATCAATCAACAACTAAAATGAAATGAGTTATTTAACTTTTAAAATTAATTGATTATACCTCTTGTTAGTATTGTTCTTAACAGATTTCTTCCCATACTTCCTCCATTTATAACCATCATCCATCACATCAATCTTTGATCTCGTTCTAAATGCAACTCTATGACCCGTCTCCTTCGTCTCACCGTCTTTACTTCCCCTACTTTTGCAACCAAACCTATTAAAAAAAAAATCATCATATATTAATATAGTTAATATAAAGTTTTGGCTAAGAATAATCTAGACAAACAAATATAACTAAAAACTCACGTTGATTCCTTTTTACTTAACGTAGTTATTCCACTGCCGGATCCCCCACTTTCACCGGTAAATGTCTCCGACGAAACGATGCTTACCGGAGATGAAGTTTCCTCTTGGATGAATCCATTGTTGCCTCCTTCACCAACATCAAAAATCAAATCGGTGAAATCGAAATTATCCATGAAAGGATTAATAAAGTTTTCATCGGAGAAAAATGGAAAATTAGGGCTAGGGTTTTGAGAGATATTCATTTTTTTTTCTTTTTTCAAATAGAGGAAAAAAAATTGAAAGAAAGAGAGAGAGATCTTTAGAGCATAGTAGAGCAAGTGAAAAAGGGGAGACAAAGATCGTGACAAAAAAAAAAAAAAAAAAAAGGGAGACAAAGAAATGAATGGTCATTTATTTATATGAATATATTAGCATATTTATTACGAATCTTATAAAGATAATTAAAGAGATAAGATTAATAAACATTTACTAATGACAAGCAATTTCAGGGCAGATACTAGGAAGGTGCTTCAAGGCCACGTGTGGAAAGAACAAGGCCATGAAAACGTCATCATAATGACGTAAGGAGCGACGGCAGTGTAATGAAAAGTGCCTCTAAGAGTATTATCGGCTACGTTAAAGTCCACTTTAACTTTAGTGCTCGGTAACGTGAAGATTTGGATTTTGGTTTTTAGATCGACGGCTGAAAATGCATGTTGTATGTTTGCTTCTGATACGTCTAAAACAGACAGGAGTTTCTGTACTTTACAGTGCACACCAAGACAACAAGATTTGACTTATTGAAATTCTGAAAATGTTCCATAGATATTGTGATAAAACTTTATCGATTTGTTTGGCCTAACTTCCGTTAAAAAAACGCATCGATATGTTTTCCACAAAATTTTACAAATCAAATCTACTCCAGCTTTGATAGGAAGCTATATCAAATTACGTCATTATTTCTTTGTTATCGACAAAAGATCATATATTATTAAGGAATTTCTAGCTCTAGCGTTGACCAAGGTACGTGAACAAAATTTCAAAGTCTATTCCTAAGTCAACGATCCAAAGTGGTCTTTTAATCTTGTCTTGAAACCAAGGTAAGAAAGACAAAATTTCCCGGTGTCACTGATGATTGTGTTTGTCACCACAATAATATTTGAACTTTATTGTGTTAGAAGTTCAAACAAAAATAAGAAGTTAACAGATAAACAAAACAGAAAACATGTTATGTGCCTTTGTTATAAGAAAATACATGTGTGGTAATCATATAGATACTAACTGATTGAATGATTACGAATGGTTACAAAATCTGAAATCAGATAGTGTTTTCCTTAACTCTAAGATAAGATGGTGCTCGAAAAATATGATTAAAGTAAGTTTAATCTGAAAGGTTTAACCAGATGGGGAGGCTGGTCAAAGGTGAACACATTTGCCAGTGTGGGGTTTAAGTCTAGAGAAACCATTTTGTGTGGGGTAAGGATCTATAATTAAAAAATTACTTATGTACTACTGCTATCTTTTATATATTAATGAACGCCTACCACTTATCAGAAATAATATAAACTAGAACTTGACCCGCACGCCCGTGCGGATGTTTGATTTAACTTGTGTTTAAGGTAAATTCATAAACTATTGGTTTTTACAAAAAAAAATTTTATGTTTTGTAATTTACATAGAAAGTAAAATATATTATTTTATAATATAAATATTTAATAATAATTTTTATTTGTACATAGTAGTATATTAGAAATTTTATAACTTGATACAATTTGATGTAATCGTACTATCCATATACTAACATGTTGTTTTTTTGATAATTTATTTTAAAATAAAACAACATACTAAAAAATATTTTTTTTTGAATTAGTTTTCTATGAATTATCATTAATTTTATGATATTTTTTAAAATTGAACTCACACAATTTTATATTTGATAAATTAAATAAGGTAATATTATATTTAAAAATTATTTTATATAATGTATACTATATATTTCAGTTTGTGTATTTATTTTCATCATAGAGAAAGAAAAATCCTTGAAATTAATTAACTTAAACTGATTTTAAATGCAATGACATAATCTGTAAATAAAAAGAAATACAAAAGAAAGGTATTTAATTTATTGTAAATACAATGGCTAAATGTACAAATAAAAGAAAATACTTAATCTACTATCCATGTTTCCAAACAATGGTTCATTTATTTTGCTATCCTTATTTACAAACAGTACCAAAAGATACTTCAGTTTTAATAATATCGATGCATCCTTCTGTATGCTACTTTATTATAAAACTGAAATTGATTTTTTTTGGTGCAAAAAAACTGAAATTGATATTCCTTGAATCCCAATCATGAAGAAAGTTTTAAGTCTAATCTTTATTAAACTAGCTTTGTAGAACTCGAATTAAAATTTACATTCCAACAGAATAGGGTTTGAGTTAAGCTATTTGACAACTTTTTGTTGGTCAATAAAACCTTCTGGACCTTGTATATATCCATGATCTTTTGGTGAAAGTGAGGTCAGGTAAACCTTCTGCATTTACATTTCACTGTAATAATAGACATCTGGGGTTTTAATCACTGCATCGATATTCTACCACACAGTCACCACTAGTAGGCAAAATGCATATAGTCACGAAATGGTCACGAGCAAATCGAGACTATTTTTTAATTAGTCATGAAACTGTCACGAAGTCAAAAACGTGACTAAAATGTCATGAAATAGTCATGAAGTCAAAAACGTGATTAAAAAGGTCACGATTTAGTCACAAATGAAAACGTGACAGCAAATAGACACGCTTCTGCTACGAATTTTTCGTGACAAAATGATAAGAACAAAAAGGAAAATAGGTAAAAATTGTGCCTTATTGACCAAAATATATTTTTCCCACGATTTGACCACAAACTTTTCGTGACCATTTATAAAATAGCCACTGCCATGAATGTTTCTTGACTATATGATACCCTAAACGGAGTTTTAAACCCTGAAATCTTCATTCAAACCTAAAACACTAACATTTTCATATCCCAACCTCAAATCTTCAAAACTATACACACAATTTAATCTTTCTCAAAACTTAAACTCAAAATCGATCTTAAATCTAAACTCAAACACTATATATACATACTCCAAACCATAGATTAAAAACCTTAAACCTTAATTTAAAAATATTTTTCAGTTATTATAATATACTTAAACCAATACCTATAGAAGATATCAATGTTCAAATCTACTTTTTTCCAAATCTTAATCCAAAACATTAAACATGTACCTTACAAAACATATTCCCTTTCATACCCTAAAGTATAAAAACTAACTTCTAAACTTTAAACTAATTTTAATTATAAATTATAACAATTATTATACACACATATTCAAAACTTAATATAACAACTTATCCCAAACTCTAGTTCTTGTAACTCTAAATCTTTTTTTTTGTTAAAAATGTAACTCTAAATCTTATATTTAAGTTTTAAATATATTTTTCCAAACTTCAGTTTCAAATTTTAACCTAAACCCTAGAACTCTATTTTCTATATTCAAATATCAATCATAAAGTTTAAAATATTTTTGACTAAAAAGGGTTAAATATCAGTTTAAATGTAAACATTTTAAATTGTGAATTCTAAATCTTATATTTTTTCCAAAATAATTCTTTATTTACGAATTTAACAGAAATATTTTATATATTAAAAACAAATCAGAATAAGAAATCAATGGTGTTGAAAAAAATAGGAAAACATATACATAAGATCTGATTGGTCAACATAAAAGTAAAAAAACACACTTTCTTCTATCTTTTTCTTCCTTTCTCTCCTCTTACTTCTTCGTATCCTCTATCTCTCAATCAGTCTCCGTGAAACTAAATTGTCTCAACAACTCACACCATCACATCCAACACCATTATCTCAACCTCCACGTCCTCGTTCTCCACTTCTCTACCTGATTACTCTTTTTCTGTTTTCTATTCTCAAAGTTTGTTCTTTTTTTCAGATGCAAATAGGAAACAGATCGGGAGGGAGAAGGCAGAAGAAGCTTGATGCCTATGATGCCTTTTAGTCACGAAAATATCGCCTCAGTCATGAAAATTTATGTGTCTATATCAAAGTTTTCTACACATATACTAGATTTTCCAGTCCAACGTAAAAAGCTTCTCAATATAATATCAATCCAACCAGGGGAATGAAATTTATAAGCATAGCATACACTGTGATATCTTCAAAACAAATGTTAATCTAAAAATCAAAACTAATATGTATACATATATGATGAACTAGTTATGAAGTCGAAGTAGGTTTTGCATCTCTCATTAACCTACATGTTGTGCAAGGGGTTTGGACCTGCAGGGATAATTCGCTTCTCTTCTTCTTCGTTGTTGATCTTTCCCCGAACTTTAGATGATCTTCCTCTGAACTTATTTGTTGGGAATAATCTTGAAGTTAACTTGGGAAACAAGTCTAACTAATCCTTATTGTTTTGTGATTAGGAAATAGTTTTACTAATGAGTTTAGGTTTTATATTTCCTATATAAGAAGATGGTGAGTTGTGCCATCAACTTATGCGTTGTGATAGATTGAGTTTGTGAGCTTAAGGTTTTGAGTGATTTTCCTTAAGGATTTAATAAAGAGAGCACGTTCTTTGTTATTCATTGATCTTACAAGCTTATATTTGGTATCAGAGCAAGAATTGTTGTGTGAAGATTCGATCATAGATGGGAGATCTCGTCACTACAACGATAAAGAAGGATGGAAGTTTATCTTCTATAAACTGTCCTATGCTAACAACAACTAATTATACAGTATGGGCAATAAGAATGAAGATTATTCTTAGGGTTCATGAGGCATGGGAGGTAATAGAAGATGAAACAATTGAAGGGAAAAAGAATGATTTGGCGCTGAACATACTTTTCCAAGCCATCCCGGAAACCTTGATTCTACAAGTTGGAGAACTTAATACGGCAAAGAAAGTATGGGAAGCGATCAAAACTCGACACGTTGGGGCTGATAGGGTTCGGGAAGCACGACTTCAAACCTTAATGACTGAATTCGACAGACTTAAGATGAAGGAAACAGACAAGATCGATGACTTCGTTGGCAAGTTATCGGAAATTGCATCAAAATCAACCGCTTTAGGAGAAACTATTGAAGAAACTAAACTTGTCAAGAAATTCTTGAAGAGTCTACCTAGAAAGAAATACATTCACATAGTTGCATCCATTGAGCAGATGTTAGATCTAAACACGATAACATTCGAAGAAAT